AAGTAGGTACACACTCCATGGACAGAGTGCGGGCCGTCTCCGTAGAGGGAGAGAGAGGGGCGGCCGCGAGGCGCCGAGTTGCTGGTTTTCATGGGCTTGGTGGCTTCATATGCTAATAAGTGGAAGGACCAGTCTAAGTGGCCTGGGGAAGGGGCTGGGATTCCCAGGAAGTTGGCCATTTCCCATTCTTTGACATTCTGTGGCCAGCCTTGGGGCTGCCGTGGTGCCTGTGGGTGTGTTATTCACCATGTTAACATATTACAATGGGCGTGTAATGAAGCTCAAGATCTACTAGCAGTTAAATCTCCCACCATCCTGAGCCTCAAGGCCTACTGGGGGCTGAATCTTTCACCGCCTTGGTGTTAATTGCTGTAGCATTCCTTGAACGGCTGTGCCCTGCCCCCCTCCATCCTGTCTCGTTCCTCCCTCACAGATTTTACTCCCATAATCTTACGGGGTTGCAGAGGGGTGAAGGTCCATCTTCTGAAACTGCTTCCAGGCTGAGTAGGGGTGTTGACCTTGCCTATCAGGGAGTAAAAACCTCTGAATGTCTAATCTAGGGGCCCCAGGGGCAGGGCAGCCTCTTGTTTTTGCGTCCGAGGGCTGAGGGTGTGGGCTGGGATCCTCGCACAGCCATCGTCTGATGTGGGGCTGCTGTGACCCGCGGTTTCCATGGACTTCTGATGAATTTTCCTGAAGATGAAGCACCTTTGTAACAGCAGTTTGACAGTCTGTAATGACAAAAAGACTTAAAAGGCATGGTTAAACACTTGCGATCACCACTACACGATATTATTTGTTGTCTGAAACAGGTACCTGAGGCGTGTATTGCCTCGCAAGTGCAGGCGTCTCCTGGCTCCCGCTGGGGCTTGTAAGTTACAGGCTTTATTCTGGACACATGGACCCAGCTGGCAGCCCCTCGCAGCTCAGCGGCAGCTGGGGTGCTCGGTGCTACCTCACGTGGTCCCTTCCGTTTTGGCTGCAGCTGGTCTTCAGGGGACCCTCCTTCCAAGTTTTTAGTAAAACAGAGGCTGCTGATTGGACAGGGACGTCCGCCTTTTCCTCTGCGGGAGAGGGCAACGCTTTGTTTCCACGTTCTTGGAGAGCCTTTGACCTTGACTGAAGCTAACAATGTGGGAAGCTAATCTATGAGCTTCCCCACCAAGCAGGAAATCTGCAGTTTAAAGGGCCTCCACACATCTTTTCAAATGGGCCAAGTTTTAACATTCCCTTAGCGGCCGACCTTATTCTTAGAAGGGCTACAGGCAGGAGGGAGACCCAGGTTTCTGAAGTCTCCTGACACAGCTCAGCAAGTGTTCTCCTTAGAACACGATTGGCTTTTTCCACCTTGCCTGAGGACTGGGGCCTCCAGGAAGAGTGGAGGCGATGGTTCATACCCAGAGTGGAGGAGACCTGTTGAGCCACCGTGGCAGTGAAGGAGGGTCCACTATCAATCACTCGGTAAGCTTTTTGGTAGCCCAGAGCCCGGGATTATTTCTTTGAGCAGAGATGTTGACACGTCTATTGCTTTGTCCGTTCTGGTGGGGAAAGCTCCTACTCACCCTGCAAAGGTGCCTGTGAATCCCAGCAGGTACTTCCATCCCTCACAAGGGGGCGTCTGAGTACAGCCCACGTGCCAGTCTTCCCCTGGATAAGTTCCCCGATGTTGTGTGGGCCGGAGCAGGGGTGGGGGGAGAGGGCGGCTCCCTGGGTCACTGCGGGCTAGAGTTCACGGGACCTCGGGACTTCCTTAGCCGTTTGAGACCGTCCCTGGCCTGGGAACACTTGAGAAATTAGTCTGAGTGTGGAGTCCCGCCTAGGTGGGTGGACTCGTGGAGATGCTTGATTATTTTCCACTGCTTGTCCCCAGGAATGAGGAGCTTATTACCTTTTCTCAGCCACCCCGAGACGGTCTTTTCTAGCCCCCTGTGTTTTGCACACCCGCCCGCTTCAGGTGTAGGGGACGGCGCGGTTGGGAGAGGCTGGCCGTCAGGTGGGAGACCTGCAGCGTGAGCCCGGCTGTGCTCTGGCCGCAGCCTCGGCGCCTTGTCTGCGCCGCCGGCGTTTCCGTTATCAGGGCGGAATCGCCCTTCGGGCGTCCCCTGCAGTGTGTGACCGCAGCCTCTTTAGGAAGCGAGACTGCTTCTAGGGGTTCTAGAGTTTCTGCCTGGTGTTTGATCGGGGGCCCCTGGCTGTCAGCAGTCCCCTCTCTCCATACGGCAGCGTGGGCATGTCACACCAGGAAGCCATGCTTAGCGTCAGTATAGATGTTGATTCTTAAAGCTTTTCCTAACTGGAGTGCTCTGACTAAAGCCCTAAGTTCAGGCTTTTGGGCCGAAGTCTGGGCTGAAGAGCTCCAGACCCAACGGCTGTTTGTAGCTTTACTGTAGCGTAACCAGCCCTCCTTGTTCCGTTGTGTATAAAGCTGCTTCCACCGGTAAACCATCCTGCATCCGGACCGGACAGGGGCTCGCCCCTGAGAGCCGGCCGGCAGGAGTGAGCTGCTCAGCAGTCCCCACGCAGGAGTGCACACAGGGGTGAGTGAGGGGAGTCTGGATGCAGAGGAATGCAAAAGGAAGCATCCTTTAAGTCTAGCACTGAGAGCCAGGCCGCGTTTTCTGGGACCTGGTCAATAAGGTGCATGGATTAGGGACTGTAGGGTGAACTGGGACCACTGCCTCATTAACTGCCCGCGGGCCCTGAGCAAACCAGTATTCTCCA